TTACTGGACATCCTGTCACAATTCTAGCATAAAAGATATAGTTGACTACTCAGGTATCTATCAAGTTACTAACATGTAAGTAATGGCCTGGACTTCTACATTCCTTAATTGGCTTTGTATCGTCTTTAAATAAATCAAAATGTTCCAGTACAAAAGTTGCTTATACCCTTCCACCGAAAAGTTTCCTTGCAAAACAGTCATGTTCTCAGCCAAATGTTTTCAGGGAACGTCAGAAGCACTTACACTATATTTTATTTTATTTTCTAAGGACTTGTTTTCAATGCATTGTCAACTATAGCCACAAACGAGTTTTACTCACTAACCTCCCTATTACTCAACTTGGAGATTTTTCTGCATAAGTATTTCTTTACATTCCAACTAGCTAGCCTGTTATTGGCTATGGATTGAAGGTCAAGTGTTTGGTGATGCTGAAGATAGAAATACAGCGGGGATGAAGCAGCTGCTACATCATTCTGAACACAGGATGTTAAAGTGCAGATTATCAGCTAAATCAAGTAGTTGATGGAATTTCCATTGACTACTCTATTAGTGTATGTCTACACTTACACCCTCTTTCAAGAGAGGGATGCAAAATGAAGACATTTGAAATTACAAATGAAGCCAGGATTTAAATATTCCACGCTTCATTTGTATAACCACGTTATGGCACTATTTCGAAATAAAACACGCTGTGTAGACACATTTTGAGAGAAAATCCTTCTCTCGAAATAAACTTCATTTTATGAGGAATAAGGGTTAACAGTTATTTTGAGAGAAGGGTTCTCTCTCAAAATAATGTGTCTACACAGTGTGTTTTATTTTGAAATAGCGCTATTTTGAAATAGCACCATAATGCGATTATGCAAATCAAGCACGGGATATTTAAATCCCGGCTTCATTTGCCATTTCGAATGTCTTGATTTGCATCCCTCTCATGAAAGAGGGTACAAGTGTAGATATATCTTTAGCTGACAAGGGGGGCTCACTACCCCTGCTGCGGCTCTGTAGTTTAAATGTAATAGGAGCCCCGGCTATTACAACATTTAAACTGCAGAGCTACAGCAAGGGAATCTTCTGGGGCCGGTACAAACTGGAACTAAGCAGTCCTAGCTCACCCCAACTGTGGGACCACTGAGACTTTGCCTCCCTCTCCCTTGCACTGCACAGACAGTGCTGGGGGTGGGATGGGGAGCGGGGAGAACCGGCTTTTAAGCCAGCTCCCCCCAGCACCAGCTACTGCTTCTCCCTCCCCCCTTGCTGTCTGACACAGAGGAAACAATACCCTTACATCCCTATGCTGGACTGCTAATCAAATCACTGAATAGCTGGAGTGTTTTGCACTGTGGTCATTCTAGTGCTATAGCTCAAGTGAGGGTAAAGAGAAAGAACTCAAATGGAGTAACTCAGCCTAACTGTTGCAATGAAGAGAGGCCATGTGTTTTCAGAGTGGCAGTGCTGTAGCGCATTTTTTTTTAGAAGGCTGAATGCTTGTATATCTTGTTGAACTGCACAGAGAAGTGTAAATACAAATGCACACTCACTGGCTCATGTAGACTCTGAAGATGTCCATAAGGGAATTTTTAGTGCATGCCAGTAGGGACCTCCCAGGCAAGTCAGTGTGCAACACACTAGTACACACCTCTTTGGTGCAAGCTAACATAAAACGTAGATAGGCCCTCAATGTAAGATCCTGGCTTCAATGTTTATATGAGACACAGCAGTACATGCAAAGTGGGTTTTATCCACCAAAGCTCATACCCAAACAAATCTTAGTCTTCAAGGTGCTACAGGATGCCTCATTATATTAGACAGTTACTTTTGGCTATTTTAGATTTGTTTGTTCCATTTCTATTAGACCAACCGAAGGCACCATAATAAATTACAATACGCTCAAGCAGTTAGTCCCATTTTCACCACCTAAATTGTGCATAACTAGCTCCTCTGGAGCATGGCAATTAGAACTGCCTATACCTGGGCTTAGACAATTATGGATTTTAAACCCTTACTGAATTGGGAGTAATTGCATTAATGAATACAGGAGAAAATGTTTGGAACAGAAACTCATGTACCTTACTTTTATGATGAGAGATTTAACCAGTGTACAAAATTACCCATTACCGTAATAATGAACTATTGTAAATATATTACTAATTCTAAACACACCTCCACGAAATAAAAAAAAGTTGGCTACATCTGCTATGATAATAATACGGCACTCAAATTTGCCCCTCAGTTAAAAAAAAAAAAAAAAAAAAAAAACCAACAACCACCAAGGTACAGTAGACTTCGGATAATCCGGCACCTTTGGGGTCCAGGTGGTGCCGGATTATCAGAAATGCCGGACTAGCAGGAGGTACTCTGGCAGGGGTGGGTCTCGTCGCAGGGGAACAGCGCCGCAAAGGCCAAACCCTCCGCCATTTTAGAAGAAGGCGGAGCCTGCGACCTGCGGAAGCAGAGAGGAGGCGAGAGGCAGGCAGCCGCTTCAAGAAGTTCTAGTCAATTACACTGCCGCTGCTGGATCAACAGGCTCTCAATCTACCTTTCCCCTCTACTGCCTGGGGCGGGGGGCAGGGGCTTGGCGGGTGGGCGGGGGTGCTGAA